TTACGTGATATTTGTGGAGAGGCCTACTTGTCTCTCATCATTGCTCCTTTAAAAAGCGCTTGTCTTTGAACCACGCACCGTATTAGCCTATTTGCATGATGGCGTCATATGACTACAACCATCAGAATCCTTCATTTTTTCTTTTTCTTATGCTAATTAGGGCAATTGTTATTTAAACCCCACTGGGAATTCAAAATTTGAATAATAAAGAAAAAATGAAAGGAATTCTGGTAGTGCAAATCTGCCATTGAAGCCGCTTGTCGTCGCATCCTTCATTTCTAGAACGCGAGTCTTTTTACATAGAAGGTATGAATCTTGGTTAGTCTCTTATCTGCCATTGGAGAGCCCGTCTCTCTGAAATTTTTTTTTAACGAATATTGGATGTCTGCAACAGAAATTTCGGCAAAATGCCGAGTCCATTATTTTTTGTTTTGATCGTATCCATGACAAAGTTCTTGATCATGATTGGCTCTCCGAACGCATCTTTGTTACGTAATCGACGCATGAACGCGTGCCTGTCCAAATATAGGTACCCAATTTCAACTTTTTGAATCAATTGAATACCTACATCAGTTGCGTGCACTTAACTATTGTTCCTTACAGTTTTAAAACTCATGGAAAACAATATGGCTTTTTTCGCCCAAAAGAAGTTCTCAAAAGACTTTTTTAGTCTCGAAATTTGTTTTTGATACGACTAACTAGTAACTGGATCGTGCGTCGTAGAATTCACAGAATAATACCAGGGATGGCGGATCGTATTTTGAATTGGTGGTGGGGGGGAGGGGGGCTTACAAGCGAACGCCAGAGGCGCTAACTTGTAGGGGTCTGGAGATATTTGTAAAATTATTCTCAAGTGAATGCAGATGGTGAATTTTAAGCTCGGTAATGAAATGTGAAAAGTGAGCTGATCAACATGACACGAGCGCGGGACAAAGAAATGAACTCAGTTAAATGACCCTGCTCTCGATGAGTTCTCGAAGCTCAGTGGATAGAGCGCCCGACCGGTGTTCGGGAGGTCACCCAGATTTTTTCTTCGTCCTACGCTCATGTCATGTTGATCACTTCACTTTTCACAAAATTATTATTTTATGTAGCCTCCAGCCCCCCCCCCCCTCCCCCCTCCTCCCCGTCTCCGCCGTCCCTGTAATCGCACTCATAATTTAAAATCACTCTTGCTATAAATTACTCCCAGATTTGTACTCCACTCGGTCCAATATCTATTACTTATACTTTAGCGACAGCAATACTATTTATGAGTTTATTTTCGGATCACATGATTTTTCATTGATATTCAGTGACAAAAACATCGTCTGGCAGCAAATTAGTTAACTTGCCAGTATAGGCTTTCATCAACAGCTACAAAGTTAATATTTATCCAAATTAGACGTTAGTCTTTACAACTAAACTGCAAAGATAGTAGTTGGACCGAGTGGAGTGCAATTCAGGGAGGGAGTCCTGTCGTACACTTCCACCAAGGGTAAGCCATCGAAATTTAATGCATTTGGCCGCGGTTTTGTCATGGCATCGTTAATATAAATAGTTTAATTAATTTACTCGTTCATATTGACGACCTTTGAATATTTATCGGAAGTTCTAAATTGATATACTAGCAATCAACGAAACAAAACTATACAGTTCTATCAGTGATGGTGAAATATATATGCCGAGATTTGAAGTCAAGTTAATGGGAGAAGCGGTGGCGGATGTGTATTTATTTATGAAATAATATAAATGATATATGTTGATCAACTTATGCCTTGTAATCGAAATTATTAGGCCGCATTCTAGACCCTTGATAATAATTACGTGGTACAGATTTCCGAGCTCTTCCCAGAACATTTTTTCTCGATTTGAAGCACTGGTAGATAAAATTGATTCCGAACACAAGGATTTCTACCTGCTGGGAGATCTAAATTGCGACACGTTGCGCGATCGGTCAAACATTCGATATTTAGGGGCTGAATCGAATGATTTCTGAGCCAACAAGGATTAATCCATCTCTGCATAACTAATTCTCCCGAAAAAAATCGTTAATTCTGGTGTCGTCCATCTTGGTATTAGCGATCATTCACTGAGCGTGTTAGCACTCGTTATACTATTGAGACCCATGCATTTTCAAAAATGTTAATAACGACCAATTCTTAAACGACCTTGTGCAACAACCATAGGATTTTTAAAATTAGCTTAGAGCCAAATCCCACAGCTATGTGGAATGTATGGAAGTCCTTGTTCATGAAAATCGTTGATAAACATGCCCCACTCAAAACTAAACGGATTAACTTACCATGCCAAATGTTTTCGTCGTTTTGCTCTGCGAATTTTGCCCGGCGCTGAGTGTGTGCTCTCATTCTTTCAGCTTCTGTGATTGGTTTTCCTGGGTCATCTGATGAATTTGTTGAGAATAATCAACTTGATCACGAAAGTACAATAAAATTTTCTACACTTTGACAAATATTTTCACATAGTTATTTCATAGAAGAAATAAACCACTCTTTCTATGGGTTTACCGGCGTAATAAACCACGCAGGATGTTGTGAGAACACTCGAAAAGCTTGTAAATAACGGCTAGTGATTTACAAGCTTTTCTCGAAAACGAAAATGGAAACAAAAACATTTAGCGCTATAAATATTCTAGGAAAGGAAAGGAAAAGGTTATCGCTGAAACACAGAGCGTGTATCAATTAATTTTAAAGAACTTCGACGGGAAAATGCAAGTATTCGTGGCAGGAATGAGTCATCACGAAAGTAAAAGACTATACGAAAAGTTTGCAAGTAGTACAAAATTCATGCGCTTGGCGAAGTGATTCAATCACAGTTTTCAAAGTTTTGCGAATGGAAAAAAGATTACTTCTGAAAACTCTGTTTCTGAAATTTAATCAGAATTGCTACTCGATAAGCATAATGTTACCTCGAAAGAAATCTTTTACCTGCTTTTTTATCCACCCAGATTGATCATTCAAGCCCAGCTGTAGTCAGAACTGCGTCTTCCAAAGACCGTGAAAAGCACTGAAAGCGCTTAAAACTTTCTTCTAAACTCAAGCGTAAACGGAATCGACGTAAAATTTTGGCCATGGAAATTAGAAAAAGATCAAGCTTTATATTGCGACCAAATTCTGGTCCTGTTTTTCCTTGCAAATTTCAATGTATATGTTGAATTAAAAGATATTCGTGCTATTGATATCTCAGCCAGTGAAAGCCGAAAATATATATAGAGCTTTTTAAATGTATTTTTCCAGTAGTGTTCTGAGCTCCCTATTTCTCACGCAGTGCTGCGTGTCAAAACCCTGTGTTTACCGGTACAATATACGATAGGTTTTTTTACTAATCAGAGCGCGCGTAGTATCTCAGTTATTTTATGTAGATGCGTACGAAAACCCTTCATTGTTAGCCGCCAGTTGTTTACCGGAAGACAACCCAGAAAAAAAGTGAGATATCCAAGCTGGAATAATTTGGCCACGAGAGTGGCGATTTATTGACTAAAATAACTTTAGTGACAGCTTAATTACCGAAAACTCGACGGATCGTTAGCGCAGGTGGGCGTGAAAACAGGCCCAGCCGTAAGCGAGAGTAAAGGCCAGTGACTGGTGAAGGCGGAATGACTGGGGATGGAGGTGGGAAAATTCTCTGATGTGTACTCCGCGAAGGTTACGAAGAATGAGGGCGAACGCATGTCTTACACTCTCCTTGTATGATGGGAATAAACCGCAGAATTAAAGATATTCAATTTGATTATAGACGAACGGATATATGCCGCATTCCAGCCTTCAGAACGGCCACATGGCAATTACGATCAGACAATACTAAAATGATTACTATACTAAAATGTTTATTAAACTAATGTCGGCCTCTACGTAAATGACATTATGGCGGTGTCCATAATCTCGTGTTTTTATAAAATATTGTATACACTCTTTGAGCAGCACTAAGATCAATTGTCCCTGAATATTGAACACACTCTTGGTACACCAAAATATAGTGAAGAAAACTAATACTGTTGACATTCTTTATATATTTTCGGTTACGTATGACGTGCGAAAGGTGCCAAAAATATAAAACTTGTTCTACGAAAAAAAAAAAAAAAAA